TTTTCAGAGATACCTGCTCGGAGACAGACACGTGCTCGGGGAACGCGAGCCCTGTCTGAACGACGACAGCTGGAGAGCCCGGACTTGCATAATTTTTTAGAGTAGCATCCGGACTATCTATACATGCAAAAAAACTACTAACATTGTATGCTAGTGTTACTCCGTTCTGAGAACGGAGCTGCTTTTCCAAAGATCCTAAGAAAACCAGATCTTTCAAATTTTTTCAAAAGTTGTTGTTGCTTGTGAAAAGTTCCGCTCAAGTCTTTGGTATCGCACAGCGAAAACCGCAGATCTCTATCTCATTCCGATCAGAAGTTATTCGAAAAACAGCCAGGAATGCTGCTCTTTGGTACGGATAGTAGATCCGGTAAAGGTGGCACCGGTAAACCAAGTTTATTGATATACCTTTTAGGAAAGTTGATATAGCACTATTCACATCACCTTCTCCATAAACTCTAATATCAGCAAATGCAAGTTCGATTATTACAGGTGACACAAACGCGAAAACTCCCGTTGTTGAGCGTTAACACGCGCTTTTATTCCAGAATTTAAAAACAATGAGTTTTAACGCTCAAAAACTGGAGTTTTCGCCGTTTTCACGGTCTGAAAGTGAAAATTTATCGCAAAAAACGCGTTTCTTGCGTTTTTTTAATGAGCGTTACTGACTCACAATCGCGGTTCCCTTTTGAGCGTTTAAACGCGTTTTTCCAAATGTTTGTCTGCTTGGGTCATCATGTGAGTAAAGTGATGACGTTGTAAATGAATTAGTCACATAAAATGAAAGTTTGTTTATTACAAGGAAGACCACTTTGTTATTGTTTAGAGCTTCGAAAGAATGGAACGAAAGATTATTCACTATTCACCATAGCAAACTATGTTTCATTTGTAACGAGTAAAGAATATTCGGATAGTGAATATATGAATACACGTCAGAAGAGAAAAAGGCTCAAGCGTACGTAACAAACGTAACACGTAATAAACTTAATAGTCATTTTTCCTTATACATTTTGAGTGAAGAAACGTTCTTCACAAAGTACAGTGTGCAAGGTAGATGTCATCTATTAGACAAACATATTTTGCAAGTAAATTGGAAAGAATTCCGTCCGACGTTTCCATTTCGTCTTTCGCTAAGAGGCAAAAAATGTCCCTCGCGAGTTTCGCCTCGTGCAGTTCTTGCCTCGTCATCGCCCGTCCCTGGTCAAGTTTTCAAAAACTCTTGCCCGCGGGACCTCCCTAGGATCCTCGTCCATCGCCCACTTCTGCATCGTACATACTCATTTATTTGTCAAAATAATCTCTAACAATTATCCGTCAGATACATGCGTTTTTTCATTACTGTTTTAGATACTCTGGCTTTTTAGCAAGTAATATTTTATGTATCACGTTACATATCCTGTTTGAATAATTATCCTGTTTTTTTGTTGGAATTATATCATATGTAACGGGTGGCGCATAATAAACGAGACACTTTTGTTCTTTATTTTTAAGGCACTTCCGAATGATTTAAAAATCTGGTTCTAGTCTCATTCGATAGAGAACTGAATTCTCTACTGAATCTGCTTTTTGAATCTCTGATAGCATTTTTCTCGTTTGAGCACCACTCAAAATATTGAATAGTGCTAAATTTTCGAACCCCGACGTGCTTTTGACATATGCTTTTTTGAGATTTTTAGCCTATTGTCTGAGGTTCAATAGTTACTTTTTCAAGGTAGAAATATAGAGAATTTTGTGTTCTATCGATCTTACTCATTTATAACTTCATACAATGTTTTGCCTACGTCAGCTGGACTCCTAACTAGTTCTCGACCGGCTTTTCAAACGTTTTCAAATTAAATTAATTTTGTAATTAATGGTTTCACTTGAGAAACTTTGTTTATATATCAAAAGATGCAGAAATTAATTCTGTGTAAAATAACAAGGCTAAAACCCTGGATTCATAACGTTTTACTGATTTTATCAGCAAAAAATAAAAATCTGTGAAAACTAGATTCAAAAGTTAGATTTTCTTTGAATTTATCACCTTTTTGCAAAGAGAAATTTTCGTAGAAGACTTAACTACAGAATTTCGAAGAATGTGTGAGAAGATGCAGAATTTTCCGGTGAATCTTCTGATGTTTTCAAAATTCTTATGGAATCTGTTCTGGGATCAAGGCAAAGATTTTTCTGTTTTCAGTGTGTCGCAGTTCGAGAATTTAGCACTATTCAATATTTTGAGTGGTGCTCGAACGAGAAAGATGCTATCAGAGATTCAAAAAGCAGATCCGATAGAGAATTCAATTCTCTATCGAATGAGACTAGAACCAGATTTTTAGATCATTGGGAAGTGCTTTAAAATAAAGAACAAAAGCACCCTAGTTATTATGCGCCACCCGTTATTTGATATTTGATTTTTTACGTGTCTCTACTTTCTACTGTACAATAATACATCAACTTCTACATTATGGAAATTTTGACGTGAAAAAGACTCATGCCAAGACTGCGGAAACTACCAGTGGTACAATTTATTTGAATGCAATCTAGAAGTACAATGGCCACCCTGGTGAATGTACGTGATGAACACTTGAGAAGTATTTGACAAGTTAAGTACTTGGCAAATACTTGAGCAAGAACTTATCAAGCGTTGTTACTTGACTTTCTTTAGCGAAGTACTTGGACAATCAGCCAGGCTTCTCTTTTTCGTTGACCACTGGTATATAAACTTAAATATTTCTACTGGGTTGAATAAACTTAATAGCCGTGCATGTATTTGCTCTACAAAAGTAGAGTATAGCTCCTCAAGATGTGTAAATACAAAATAAAAATAAAATGGAGCAAGTATTTGACTGAACTTTTCAAGTAAACCTACTTGGAGAAGTATATAGGTACTATCCTCATTACTTAACCCAAGTACTTGGTTCAATTACATTCACTAGGGTATGCAATTAACTGATGTACTATTTAGAGAAACTCACCTTTTAAGGTGAACTTTATTATTGCTCTTTTTAACAAAAGTCTCCTGACAAAGATCAGAATTTGCAGTGGCTTCTTCGTGAAAGTCTTTCGAAAGTCACCAAGAAAGTCAACTCGAAAATTTTCACTCAATTCCTCTTCTTAGATTTGCATTTCGAGAACAGATAAATTGTACTCACACACTTTATCAAAGGACCCTCTCGGATTTCAAAAGTATATCGAACCAGAAAGCTAGATATCAGGTTTTGTAGAGCTTCTCACGGTAGATCTAATCTGTATTGGGATTGAGTTAATACCTTCTGGTTACCGAGATATGGGTGTTTTAGGTCTATAATCGGTATGGATGTAAGAGGAAAAATCGAGATTCGGTAATGGAATATAATGAGATGTTGTCTTACCCATATTCTTGTAGAGCAATGAAAACTGTACAAACTAGTTCGATAATGGGTAATAGAGCCTAGTTATTCTAGGAAAAACATCATCACAGATTATTCATTGTTATTCTCGTCAATTATCTGAATGTGCAGGCATGGTATCAAACTAAAATCTTCAAAGTAGTTGATACAAAATTTCAATGTATCTGAGTAAGAAAGTGTATGTTTTATGATCCTGACAAAAAGACAGGTATAGTTTTACATGAAATTTCATCTTACTGATCAAAATGAGTTGAAGTTTAATGCGGCTGAAGTGTATTTTTTCAAAACTAGCAGAATTTTCTCTGGTGGCTTGTCCACGTAACGCGACACTTCGCTGATCAAGTTTTGTTGAATTTTTTTCATCGGAAAATTGACAGGGGTACATCACTAGACGGAGCTTTGCCTGCTTCCGCCTTGGCCTGAAAACCTTTGAGAATTTTTCAAACTTTATTTTCAACTGGAGTATTTTTAGGATACCTAGAACTACACAGGCTATATGTATGAAGTTTTCTGAACAACATTTAGTGTCTGAAAATGCTGCGACCAAAAAGTGTGTCACAGCGTTACTTTACAAAATCGACTTTTCTAGGCGTAAGGAAGGGTTTGGATAAAGTCTTTTTTTACCAAAAGAAAGCCCGTTAGTTCCTCTATAAAGTTTGCTTAAGACACTGTATAGTAGCTCTTCTAAATTCGCAGAAATTTGCACTTTAATGATGTGGCCTTTAACGCGTCTGACGTGCATTTTTTTTGTCAGAAATCCATCTCTTTTTTCATAGTGCACTGTCGTTTGTATTTCTTAAAATATGATTTCAAAACTAGCAGAATTCTCTCCGGTGTCTCTACATTTTCAGAAATTACACGAACTCCGCTCGTGGATTCTAGACTTTAGTTTTCATACGTACAGGAATTCTGTGACTTCGTTATGTCTTCTCCTTTTTGTCCGTATTACGCAAACTTGTCACAGTATCCGATGACACGCTAGTTTGTTCTTAGCGATCTTTTCTGCTGCAGAAACAAAATAAAGAATTTCCTCCATCATATCTAAATTTTCCCATTAGACAACGATGAATTATGGAGAAAACAAGTAGCAGAATTATTTTTGCCGAAATATATACTGACAAAGACTTGTGAAGCTTCGTTGTTCTGAAGCAGTTTCCGAAGGAATAAAAGAGAAACATTCAACATTTCTGTTAATATAGAGAATCTCGTTCCTTGGACCTCCATGCGTGGTTATGGTTCGGGGAGATATGAAAGCTATTTCACAATTTTGGATACTTTTTAGCAGCCATCCTAAATTGATCAGATTTATTTGTTTAAAGCTTTCGACTCAACGCGACCATTTGGTAAGACCCGATACTAAATTCAAGGGAATCAAGGACAGGGGACGATAAGAGGCAAAATCGGCCCCCCTATTATAGATGCGACCATAAAGTTTTGGATAGGTCCAAGGGGAAAACTTGTGTCGTACACACATCTGAATCATTCGCCCTCTGTTGATATAATTTTCAATCTGGCATGTCGATGAGGAAAAAATTGATGCGTTCTGATATGTTTTTTGTTTATAATGACAAAAAAGAATAAATACTCTGCAGGGTATTATTAATTTTCTTCGTTTCATTCTAAAAAAAATAGAACATGAAAGGATTAGGTATCACCGTTGTAGTTCCCTTGGTTATCGTCTTAATCAATGTTTCTAGTAGTTATGGTGCTAAGCAACGTCATCCACCTGTGTTGCGTTATTATTTCATTGACATTGATAGTAAAACCAACAATTTGTTGGTGATAAATTCTAGAACAAATAAATTCCAATATCGTCATAATCGTAGTGAAATAGTGAATTTAAATGAAGAAAAAGTCTTAGCTGAAATAGATTTTGCATTCGCAAATCGATTATATACTGCAAACTTTGTCCTATTTAAGAAGGGAAATGGTGTACCTATAATGGATGCTCCAGATGGAATTTATAGTGATGATTTGATATTACCAGCAATAACAGGTACAATCACAGAACAATCTACATGGTTTTATCGTACAACTGAATTAATATATGATCATAAAAAAATCATCATAAAACGTAAATTGATAAAAGAGCATTTTAAAATCTATGAGGAACAAGATAAATCGCATTTATTAGCTGAATTTTATCATGAATTAAAGTGGAAATATTCACGTTATAGATTAAATATTTATTCCAATGATCACATCGATCTCATTTACTTTCTGTGTGGTGTTGTTTGTTATCAACAAACTATGCTTAAACTTGATTAAAAAATCTAAGACAACTTGAAAAACTGGTTTTAAGAAAGAAATATTTTTTTTTTCGTTTTATATAAACTTTATTAAAAATAATAATACAAATAAGAACATAGCCGAGCTATTGAGTAAAGGTACTTTTGATCACCAAAAAAAGATACTTTTGATCACCAAACGCCTTTAGATACAAATGATCACCAAAGAAAGATACTTTTGATCACCAAATTTTCCAGCATCACATTTTTATACATATAAACATAT